TTAATCAAACCATTTTCTTTCTATTCGATATCGTTTTTCTCGCTCGTTTTACATAGCTTGGTTCTAGAGTTAGGTTGTGCACATCCGAACATTTGAAATTCCGCTGAAAAAAGACCAATCGATGATCGAAGTCGAATTAATCCAAACCTGGCCCGGGATTAGACGACGTAAATATTTGGTGAAACAACACCAACAAATAATAGTTTTGAATATTTTGAATGAATAGTCGACAACAAATTTGGAAAAATAGTAGCACTAGCCATTAACATCCTGGTCAAGTCGGCCAAACTTATGTTTCTTGAACTTGATAGTTCGTTTGTTAATGACCCATATTGTTGTAGGTTTCCATTTCTGCATTCTACTACTTACAAGATGTATATATAACTGAGTTGATAAAATGAATAAGATTTTGAAAGCAATGAAATTAGTTCTCTTTGTTTCGAAGAATAGTAGTGCGAATTTATTTTGCGAGTAAGTGTCATGCAGGCAACTGTCCCGCGAGCAAGTGTCCGCTGCAGGAATGTGTCCTCCGCGGGCAAGTATCCTACGGGCAACTGTCCCGCGGGCATCTATCCGGCGGGCAAGTGTGCATATACCCTAATATCTGAAATTAAGCTAATTATTACTGTACCCGTAAGCGCAATAGACAATATAAGTTCACAATTTTACTTAGCTGGATCAAATAATAATGCAATGACAATATTTCGATGACAATCACAAACAGTTACGAAGAAATACAAAAGCATCGAGTGAGTCAGGACTTAATAATCGCCGTCAAGTCTCTAGTGTTCGTCCAGTCTCGCTAAACATTCTTTCACTAGTTGCTGAACTAGCTGGAATATACGTATTTATCCTTTTCCTTGAACGGTGAATGAGAAATACATCGCCGGTAGCATCATCAAATGATCAATCCTCTGGATGATCCAAGATCTTGCGATTAAACAGCAACATTAGAAACACATTTTCAATTTTTCCAGAATTGCTCTGCTAAAAAAGAAGCTTGTTTCTCTCAAAAAGTTGGTTTTTATATAGAGTATTGCATAAGTATAAAGCTTCGTACCAGTATCTGCATTACTCATACCCGTACCCATATCCTATCCATAACCGTCCAGCTCTTACCCGTACCGTACCAATACCAGTCAACTTCCTACCCGTACCCGTCAATTTCGTACCCGAACCCCGAATCGGATGCGGGTACCCGATCCGCGGATTGCAGTACTCTAATTCTGTCTTTTCTCTCTCGTGAGAAACCAACCAAACATTAAAAAGCTTGTTAGCGCAGCTCCAGAGGAGCTGAAATGTGGAACTCACGTATATCTTTGAAACTTGTTATCCTGATGCCTCATGTTTAAACTGCAAAATACCTTTTTTCGAGAATTTATGAAAGCATTGATATATTATATATAATCGAAAGCCTTCTATGCGCAGTTGCTCAGATCTGTAATGGGGAGGTGTCTTTAATGGGGGGTTCTCTGTCCTCGGGTGGGGGGAGCCGCCAACTTCGAACTGAAAACTTACACTAACTCCTTTCTTCGAAAACATACGTGAGTTCTACAAAATTGATAAGGGATTGGTATATTTATGATAACAAACTGTCAAGGTATGTCAACAACTATTATCAAAAGAGTTACTCTCACTTACTTGGCAAACAGAAGAAACAAGAAAATGGGTAGTGGATGCTGTAAGAACACGAAGATTGTTGATGCATCACTGGCTGTCGTGCAAACACAACATGTAACTGCCACAGAAACACCTTATGGTTATGTGTTCATTTATCCGGGTAAGTCTCGCTTTAAAGAAAACTGAAAGATTTAGTAGGTGCACAAAATTCTGCGAAGAAACTACTGCTTGCCTTAGAGTTAGAGCCCAGTAGGATATTCGGAGTTGAGATAAGAAAGTCATGTCCAGCGAGCCACTCGGTATGCTTGCTACTACAATGAACTGGCTCGATGGGCACGAGGTTTTTCATTTTCACCCTGTGCTGTATCTTCACTGAGAACTAAAACTACTCTTTCGAGTAGTTTTACAAAATCTCTCCTTCCAATACACTGAGGCCAACAGCCGATGTGATACTCTGTAGGATGACGTGTTTTACTGTATTTCGATCCTTCTAGGCGTTTTAACACCGAATAAAACGTATACATCTCCGATGCTTTCAATTCATACTTATCGTCAATCATCAAAGAAAACTGCAGTGGACTACGCAGAAGCACAGTTTTCAAACAAGAAGAAGTTTGATGGGCAGCTTGGCTCTTTGGCTACATCAAAAGAAGAACATTTGTCTTCGGATGAAACTGTCGTTATGATTCCAGTTGAAGATGTGATCAATATCCACTATACATCTGATGTAAAGAAGAGTGTTAAAGCACAGGAACATTCACGTATTGTGCCCGTCGTTGCAGGAAATGGATGTTGTGGTGGCTGCTGTAGAAAAGCTTCGCCGCCACTACGCCAAACCGATATAGTAGAAGCAAAGAATGCACAACGAGTTATAACAATACATCTTCAGTATTCAAAGTACAGTAATCTAGATACAGTATCAAATGCACGAATTCTTCCTGAAGCAGATCGTGCACAGTTCTACAAGAACCACTTTCGACCGAATGAACAACTGAACTTCTATCTAGTTCGGAATGCAGAGTATGATTCAGCTAACTTTGATCAGAAAAAAGAGCAAGCTGAAAATCTTTGTCGTATTATCATGCAGCTGAAAGGAATAAACGGTAGTATTAATGATAATCGTGTGCGTCTTATTACGAAAGAAAATGTAGAACTTCCTGCTGCTCCTATATGCTATCCAAGTCCACAAGAGCTTCAAGAAATATTGAATCAGCCGTACTTGGGTGTCTTTGGTGATGTACATAAGGAACGTTTACATTCAATTCAGACACAGCAAGATTTTGGGACACATGTGCCAATACCCGTAACGACAACGGTTGTAACAACAGCAACAATGCGACCAACGGATACGACAACGAAAAAAAATGATTGATAAATTTCAATAAAGCAGAAAACTAAACTAAACAGTAGCTTTTTTTTTTATTTTGTCTTTTGTTTTTTCTTCCTTCAATAATAAAGTGCCGCATTTGAACGTCTCTGTGAAAATTAAACGAGTACTTCAGTATTATAATCAGGTTTTATTTTTAACAGGAATGATGAATAAAAAATTCTAGTTTTGGGTTCATGATTTATCGTTGAAGCAATTACTTTATTTATGATTTTCGTACCTGTCATCAAAACTCTTGTCAATGCAGTACTAAAGAAAGATAGCTTTATGAAATATAATTGGCAAGCAAACTAAATTACCAGGCTGTGTGTACTACATTCTCATCGACCGATCAGCTTGATTTAAAAACAAAGTACTACATATGAGATAGCAAAAAAAAAGCTCCACATATTCATGCAGAAAACTATCTTAACATCGACCATTTGGAAATTGGAAATTTGGACAAAATACAATATGATCAAAAATCTGTTAGCGGCATTCCTACGGGATTAAAACGTGAAACACGATCAAGCTGGGTAGTGTGAATGTTGGTAAGGACAAGTGTGGGTCTAAGAGAATACATCCTATTCCGCAATGTTCAACATTGCGGAATCAGTTCCGCCCGGTTTACTGGAAAGTCGACAATAGGAATTTCGAAATCGGAATTTGGACAATATTGTCGAGCTTCCAATGCTGTCTAAATTCTTTCGGGATTTTGACAATAACAAACTTCATATAGTATTTTATTGTCTGGAATTCGAACAATGAAATACGACATGAAGTTTTTTGTTGTCAAAATCCCGAAAAAATTTAGACAGTATTGGAAATTCGACAATATTGTCCAAATTCCGATTTCGAAATTCCTATTGCCGATTTTCTACCTCACCGTTCCGCCCACGGAATCAATTCCATCAATTCCGGAATTCCGGCAATTCAGGGTAGTCGCAATTCCTAGGAATTCTGTCCGACTCCGGAATCGAAAGTGCGTAGATTCACTCGACACTTCTCACCAAGCACCCAATCATCCAATTCTGGGACGGAATTCGGAAAATTGAGTCAAAATGGAATTGGGCGGAATTCCTGGGAATTCCATCCTATTCCAGAATTACAATAGCTTAGGAAAACTTCTATCTATCACTTCTTTTCATTCGACTCAATTCCAGGATGGAATTCTGGGCGTTGAGTCAAGACAGGATTGCACAGAATCACACGGAATTTCTGGAGTTTCGGTCGAGTCCGAAATTGTGTGATCATCCTATTGTTATCATTCCTCATTCCTAGCTATTGCATCCAATTTCCGAACGGAATTCTGGGGATTTATTGAAACGGGAATTGCACGCAATTACATGGAATTTTGGGAATTGCGTCGGATTCCGGAACTGAGCTATCATCCAGTTATTGTGATTAGCTATTTCGGGTGAATGTACCTAATTGGTGAATGTCATTTTGAAGAACAAGTTAACGCTGAATTGAATAGAATTTGCACGAGCTGTCTGTCGAGCAGTGTTTGGGTGAGGTTCTGTTCGGTTGAACTTTTATCGCACATTGTAATATAGGGAGGGAAAAGGATGAATTTTTAAGGGTGTCGGCGTGGGTGTCGACCTTCTTATCACCCACACACACACCCACGCCCACCCACACCCACGCCTACCCACACCCACACTCACCCACAACCACATCCACACGCACACGCACACGCACACCCCATACCCACACCCATTAATCTGTATCGTTCATTTTTGGTCATGAAGATAACTAAGATTATTTGTAGAAGTGATGGCAGCAGTTTCTTTCTTGTTATAGAGTTGGACAATAACATTAAGAAACTTTTTGGCAAAGATTTTTTCATGAATATAAATTATGAACATTTTCTCCATTAATAGTATCGAAATCAACGCATTTTCGCAAAAGAAGACAACTTGATATTCGATTTCTTTTAAAATAGTAACTTTCGGTTCACTTTATAGTGCTATTTTGTTAAGAAATTCTTCTTTGTGAAATCGATCTTTGCCGAGAACAAAAGTATTACCTAGTCGACTTTTTTCATGGTAAACATCGTGTGAACATAAAATGTTTACATGCATCTCGTCGACGACCACTATTAGCTTTTGGACGCTGACAGTGATATTATTTCATCGTGTTGCTGGTAAGAAATACATTTTCTTTCTTAATAACTTCATTACATCCAAATTTCGATGTGTGCGCGCGAAATCGTCAGAATCATTAACGGTTTACATACAAAAGGTTCAAGCAATAGTGATCACTGTTCAGTTCGATACTGAAATAATCCTCTGACGAGAACATGTATGCTACCACCGTAGACATTTAGGGTATGGGTATGAATGTCAACACGGATCCGCATCTGGCTTGAAAAAATACGTACACTCGCACCAAAATTTATATTGTACTACTACTCGTTTATTGCTAATAGAAAAGAAGGTCATAGTCTCTTGTTAAAAAAATCTGCTTACTAGTTTAGAATCGGAGGTATCATGTCTTATAAGAGCATTCGTTGCATTCTAGAAGCAGGCAAAAAAGATCGGATATACGCCCGGAAAAAAGAGCTTCCGCCCATATTTCAAATATATTATCACTAGAAAAACATATTTTTTTAAAACCAATTTACATATTCTGAAAGCCCATGGAGTTTTCTATTTTTCTGTATAATTAGGTTTTAGCTTGCACTTATGTATTACTAAAAGAAATTGAGTACAATGAAGGCACCCCCATGTCCAGATTCCCAAAGATATGATTTTTTCACTGTCATCAAAATAAGTTTTTAAAATTTTTCATCACTATAGAATTATCTTTTTAAAAAAGTAAGTATATATTCTGATAGAACTTCAAATTCTCTATCTTCCTACATATTTTCATCTTATCTTATATTTATATACTTAATAATAATTTGAGTAGTATTTAAACACCCTCGTTAATCAACTCTAAATAGGACAGAGAGCAGCAAAAAAAAACCTACCGGAAAAATGTGGATTTGTTGCACTGGACGATTGAGGGTGTCTTTATTGTACTCAATTTCTTTTAGTAATACATAAATGCAAACTAAAACCTAATTATACAGAAAAATAGAAAACTCCACGGGCTTTTAGAATATGTAATTGGTTTTAAAAAAATATGTTTTTCTAGTGATAATATATTTGAAATATGGGCGGAAACTATTTTTTCCGGGGGTATATATGAATTTTTTCCTAGCAAACTTTTGATATTCAATATTCACTCATTCAAGTAAAGTCTCAGGTTGGTTTCTTTCTATTCAAACAGGCATAGATGGGTCCGATACTGTTACGGCTAGATAGTAAAACCATGAAAGCGATCAGCTAGTTCATCTTCAGCACTGATATTGTTAAACATACAAAAAAAAAATTTTTGCTAGCTTTAAAGATCATTATGCTTCAGTCTAATGTCAAATGAAACAGCATGGGATGAACGTTAGTTGTTGCTCGTAGTCAAAAATAATTCTAATTTTATAGGAAAATTTTTTCAATGATTAATAGTAAATAATATTCTTGGAGGGTTATATTCAAGTTCAAAATATCAAAAATGTATTAATGATCAGGACCTAGTCTCTCAAATAACTACTCATCCTCATTCCACAAGAGCATGAGTCATTTACCCTCAATCCACTCATTGTCATCGACCAACTCATTCTTCCTAGTGAATATAAAGAAGCTTCTAAAATAGATTGAATGAAGAAAACTTTTTACGGAAATTCTGAGTGACTACTTGCAAGATTGGTTCAGGAAAGGATAATTTCATGTCTTGCCTGTAGAATTTAGCTAAAAACAATTATTAACGAGGGCTGCAGTGCATTGAAAGAAATGAGAATCAGTTCTATCGCTCTTTTCTTGCTCAAAGGTCGTGAGAAGTATGTCGACTTGCTATATTGGTTTTCCACATAATAGAGGTTATTTTGTTATAATTATTGATTGAAATGATTATTGATCTTACTTTTTAAGTCTTCGATTAACATTTTTTGTTTCTGTTTGACGTTTTAAAGGGTGCTTTGATATATCTGTTACGATCTGTAACGGTTTGAAAGCTCTCTTGACATTTTGATGTTGAAACTCGCAACGGATTCGAGTAGACATGGATTTTTAAGAGACAAGATCTTTTAAATATTCTAAGTGTTTTGAAATGAAAGATTAGAGAGAACTCGAATTTTTCGTTTGGTGTAAAACTTTAATACGATATTACTGGAAAGTTTAGATCGTTCATGACTATCATGACTAACTTTCGTGCTTTTGGTCGTAGCTACACCAAATTTCGATTTTTCCAGCGCATTGCGTGATGATTTGATGAAGTCTAGTATAATAACTGACCAAATTATACCTCGCAGTTAAACTTAATTTCGCCAAAATTTATGAAAAATAGAATGAATGGGAAAGTTGTCAGCTGAAGAATAAAATAGCTGATCAAGCACAGATAAGATTAACACAATTAAGAGAAGAAGCGCACCTGATATCACCAACATCATTTCATTTTTTCTCTATATAAAGACATGTTAGAATAAATCGTATAATTCTACCTATTCTCTCGTATATTTGTACTGGTAGCATATTGCTATGCGAATAGTTATAGTGCTCGTGTTTGCGGCTGTTCTGCCTTTTAGCACTCTCGCTCAACAATATGGAACGTGCACGGCCAGGAATGGTCTTAGTGGAGAATGTATTAGCACTAAGACGTGTGCAGCCAACCGAGGAGTCTCAGATCCAGCTAATCTCTGTCCTGGTGATAATTCAATCCAGTGTTGCACATATGGCACGTGCAAAAATAGTCAGGGTATCGCGGGCATATGTCAGCCTACTTCCACTTGTAAAGGAAGCTCCGATCCGGCTAATCTTTGTCCTGGCGGCAACAATATTCAATGCTGTACTACTGGCGGTAGCAGTGGCGGTAAGATTGCTGGTGTGGATGTGAGCAAGAAGGATAAGGCATACTTCTGTACTTCTGAAATACAGAAATACTACAAGATATCAAGAAGTTCTAATATGTGCGAAGAAACACACGCAAATCCACAATTACATTCAATACAGTTTCCTGTCTAATCAATGAGAACAGAGAATGAAGATGACTAGCGTACAAAACTAGCTTTTGACTACGATGATTGTCGTAATAATATAGTCTTTGCCACTTGTGTTAAAACGAGGAATAAAGTTTTTTATATTCTTCAAGCTAAGTCAAACTGAATATCCTGACATCCATTAATAGATAACTTACATCTAAAGTGAAAAATACTCGAAGTCTTCAGTTTCTGAAATATAAAATATAGATATATCAATGCTTTAATCCCGTTTTCTTCAAAAAGGTTGGCTTCTTATAATCGATTGAGTGTAAAAGGATAGAATAAGAACGAAATTTTTTTTAGAAGAATCCATAAAACTTCTAGAGATCTAAAAGAAAAAAAGTTAGTTGTTTTACATCTTCACTCCAACTATTCTGCAATGAATTGTTGTTAGACAAAGATACCAACATATTTTCCACTAACTGAGAAAAAAGTCACTAGCCATATTTCTCAACGTTCGAATCATTTTGTAGGTGTAGTTTCTCTGCATATATACTTATCACAGTCAAATAAAGAAGCCACACCCCTTTGTATCAATTGTTGTCGTAGTCCTACTCATCGTGAAGTCGTCCTGTTCAAAGCTTTAGAAGTGCTTCAATAACTATATTCTGTTTAGGTGGAGGACAAAGTCATCATCCACCTGTTTTGTATGGTGAGGCATGTGTAACACAAGGCTTTCATGCTGGCCATCTTGGCGTTGATATTGGATCTTATGGTGCTAAATCTGTCAACTTGTATGCAGTTTGGGATGGAACAGTGATAGGTACATGTAATGGTGCCAAAGATTACGATCGAGCAACATGTGGTGATTGTGGTAACTATGTTCAAATACGGTATAATACAGTCATAGTTACCTATTGTCATATGAAATCCGGTTCATTAACTGTAACCAATGGTCAAAGAGTTGCAAAAGCACAAATAGTTGGTAAAATGGGTACATCTGGCCAGTCCACAGGAGTTCACCTTCATGTAACTGTACGAGAAATAAGCAATAATGCGGCTCAAGACATTAGAACTCGTCTCGGGCTCAACGGATGGCGAAATTGCTGAGACGTAAAACATAGCTAATATGCTGTTGTATTACAATCATCTTTTTTCGATTGATGAAGTATTGTTTTCCAATGAAAATAAACTATCACGTTACTAGAGTTCTTTTCATAATGGGGACTGTATCAGTAGCGTTGTGAGTTCAATTTTCGGAAGTCTAATCCGAAGACTAGAAATATCAACTGTAGCTACTACGGTGCATTTCAACTCTGCAATGAGTCTCATAAATTGGCTTCATATAATTTGTAGTAGACTATGGCAGATGATTTCTCTTCCATCAGCAAACTTTATCCGATCACAATATTTTAGAATATTGTGACCTAAAGAAGATCATGCAGAGTTGGGTGCTGGTGTCGGGAAAAGCAAGATCCAGACTCACTCCCACACCTACACCACTCTCCACACATCCTTTCTGTAACAAATTAGTTTTACTCTCATGCAGCATTGAGTGATCGATTTAAAGACGTGAAGTACTCAGATCATTTATCATTATCCTAGATTCTATGAACTTGAATAACTACGCAGGTAGAAAGAGTAAACACAGCTTGTTAGAGATGATCGTAGTCATTGTGTGTCCTTTGCTTTTTCTCTTGAGAATGCAAGAACAGAATCGTGGCATTTGTTATATCTAATGATTTCACAAATATTAATAACTTCTTTGTAAAAAAAAACATAGTGCTTTCACATTTAAAGACGAAATATTTTTGAACAATAATAGACAAGAAAAGAAGTCAGCTTTTAGTCTTGGATATGAATGATGAATAAATTTATTTATAGATAAGACGATAAATTTACAAGATAAAGTGTTCACGAAACAAAACAACAAAGAATACAAGAAAAAGAAAAAAATTCATTGAAGTTGTAATGGAATTGTTTGAGCATGATTTTATTGAGACTTTATTGTTGCAGTTTTCTCTTAGTTCATTCCACGACAATAAAAAATCGATTATGAAAACGTCGAAAAAGTGCTTCTCGAAATAGTTTACCAGTAAGTGTATACAAATAGAAAGGTAGCTGAAAATATAAAGAAAAAAAATTATTTGTTCAATGAATATTTATTTTTGAATAATTCTGAAATGAATATGGGTTATCCTTTTTTTCTACAAGATACATTCGAATAAAAGAAATCTTACCACAATATTGATAGAAGAGAAAAGAAAGACTAATTGAAAGATGATAGTTTCGATGGCTCATCGTTCTGAACTCTTATATATATATAATCAGTGACTGTTGAATAGATTTTGTATATACCAGCAGATAAATTGCACATTGTAATTAAACAAACTTGTATTAACATCAAAGCAGTTAATGTTGATTGTTGTCTTTGTGATCCGCGTACATTACTTTTGTTTTGATTAGTCTTAACATTTGCAATTCGACGATGATTTTGTTTAATATTTCGAAGAGTTAATGAACCAAATATCAACATTATTCCAATTGATACCATAACAAATAGAATAAGATGAATAAAATCACTTAAATAGAGACATACACTATTGATTCCACAGTACATGCACCACGTGCACTCTTTTGATTAGCTGCATAACAATAAAGCATGTGACTGTAGCATAGAGATGCTATAGTTACCGTGATAGTAATAGTTCGATTGACGTTCTTCATTGATAAAATTGTTCGATAACTTACTTTAAGAGAACTATTTAACCAGCAGTCAATGGAGGCAAGAGCAGTGAACAGTGCTGAACAACTTAATGCACCAACAAGAGTGATCATATAGAATTTGCATGGAATATCATATTTTGCCGTTAAATCCAAACCAAATGAATTGAAAAATCGAGTTGGTAAACCTAAAAATAAAGAAATACAAGAGGCGATTGATGAAGCCAAGAAAATACGAGAACATGGGTTTTGTTTTAGTTCTTGATCGGTACCAAATATAATCACATTTAGTACGATACGGACAGATCCAAATAGAAATACAATTAATGATCCATATCGATTCACATTTGTTGCTATTGAATAAAGTTGTGCAATGTTCGCCATAACGTTTGTCGTCAACGACGGAGAGAAACAGAATGAACAGGTATCTTTTAAAACACAGTAACAAAAAATTCATTAACAGAAAGAGATCACAAGAGATAAAAATAAATCTACATCTTATTTAATAAGATTTTATACTTCAGATATGATTTACGTCATTGTTTGTTCTATTTTGTATACCTCATTTCTATGATATCTTTTGAATCTTTATCTGATAAGGGAATGAATAGATTTTATGGAGCAAAAAAGGCTCATGAATAATCCAGTTGGATACGGCATAGTATCTTAATAACAGATTTAAGAATTTTTCTAACCATTAGTGATCGATAGAAAAACAATCGGTGATATATTTTCAAATTTGTTTATTGTTCTTTACGATTAATATCCGTTCGGAAAAACACTATTAGTGATTCAAAATCGATCATGGTAATATTTTGTAGGTAAATCGATCCAAAAAAAAGAAGATCAGAAGAGAATGAAAAGAATTTGAAAGTTACTAGTGCATTTCAACAAAGACAGAAAATGATTTGTTTTCTTCAACACAGAAGAATTCAACTAGTTTGATAAAAATAAATAACTAAGAGTTCATTTCGTAAATGTATTAGTTTTTTGATATAGATATCAAAATTCTTCACATTAACTTTAAACTTCATCAATTAACATCAAATACGATTTCTACAAAGTAAGTGGAAATATATTCGCCAAAAACTATGTCTAGTTTATCTTCTTTAGATAATATTATGATTCTTTTCAACTTGAAAAAACCTTCTAGCTATCTATTTTATCACTTGATGAAGTTTCACATTTAATCTACTCTTAAATTCATGTAATCTAATATATTGCATCCTACTTTATTATTATAAAATTAGCGAATAAAATGTATTCTTCTAATAAATGTTCTACGTAATATATGGTACTTATGTGTCGTATGCTCAGATTGTGGATATGGGTACAGGTGTGAATACTGGATAGTAGTTGATTAATATGCATACACATTTACACCCAAGCCTATATCAAAAAAGATAATAATTTTCTCTCCCTGTGTGGCTCGCTCCAGCATACACGCAGCACCACCTATATCAAAAAAATTCTAAATTGTCACAGCCCACAACCAAGGTAGACGTGCATTCAGATCATCGTATCTATAGCTATGGTAAAACGTTGTCATCGGCGTGTCGGATCGATCAACTGTTTCGATCGATAGGTGTTAAACAATCTTCATGGATACGAAACGATTAATAACTGCATTCAGAGAATTTTCGAGATTATCTCGTTAGCGTTCTCGTCAACGGCTCCATCGTTAGATTAAATCAATCTATTGACAGTCGCCGTAGAATCTAGGAGAATGAAAGACTGTTAGTCAATGATTCAGAATAGTTTAGCAGGTCATTCCATCAACCATTGGCATGAATAGTTATCTACGTTTGATATCATTTGTCATGGTAATTGATTGAAGCCATCATTTGTATATATGTTGTTTTAGGCAAGAAAGTTCATTTTTCATCAGTGTTTGCATGCATTTTAGATAGAGAAACAAGATAAGAAGAACAATGCAGTTTGTAGACACATGAATAGATGAATGAATACTTAGGATATTTTTATTCAGGATTCAAGTATTTTACGAAACGATTCGTCTAACAACGGAGTTTAACTTAGCTAATACTATCTTCATCTACAACTAAAAAAGCTTTCTTACATGATAATGCCATTTTAGAAAAAAAATTAGATGAGGGTAAGCCCATTCCATACTGCTGTTCCCCATCAGTTTAGCAAACCATACAATAATTAACTATGCTTCTTTTCTTTGTATTTTCACAAGGAAGAAATTAGCTAAGCATGTATAGCCATTCTCAAAATATTCAAGTTCTTTCTATTAAAATGAATTTTATAACAGAATGAAGAGCACTTTCATTACGATTTTTACTCAAATTTTCATGCAAAAAACCATACGTTGAAATGAAAACTTTAACAATAAAGAGAAAAAGCAAGAGCACTTGTCTATCTTCGCTTATTCAGAACTTATAGAAATGTACAAAGTATGCAAAAATAGGAATTTAAAAAAAAAGAATTATTTGTCTACTGTTTCGTCATAAAAATGAATATTTAAATGATTCATCTTTCTTTTCAGACCCGAAGGATTGTTTAAAGTATGAACAAATGTTCCATCAGATTTTTCATAGGATAATAGTCCACCATCCGACAATTTTCCAATATGTATTCGATCTCGACACATTTCACTTGTAAATATTTCTATGGGTACTTGATTATTTAAAAAGGCGTTCGGTGGAATAAGTCTAAGATGTTGATTATCTTCTTTAACTAATAGATATCGTCCAGGGCAATTAGAAATCTCTTTCCAACTATATAGATTTAAAAGGTTGCTAAAAGATGGATCTTGACTTTCCATTAACAAACGGATTGGTACGTATTTTAACAATGTATTGTCGAGTGATGAGATATGAGATGTATCAATAGAAGAGTCAGCAATCGTCACTAATATATATTAACCCTTGGAGTACCGGCCTCTTTTAACCGTGATTTTGATGACATGTGTTCTTTTTTAATAATCCTTTTACTTTTCAGCCAATATTTTCGTAAGATCTGACCTTTTCTTGTTTTATTCTATAGAAAAAAATGAGAACGATGTTCCTTATTTAGAACAATTAATACAAAAGACACGTTTGACAGAATGATCACTACAAACGAACGAAGAACAACTGAAACATTGAATTGATGTTTTCTTGTCCGTAGAACGTTCACAAATGGAGCACCTTTTTCGTTTTGGTTGAGTGGGATTTTCATTCGCTTCTGCCGGATCGTTCTTCGACACAGGATAACCGACGATTGCTAAAGCATTTAGAATATCTGTGTTCAAAAATTTCGAGTTCTTCGAACGAAAATCCAACAGATGCGATACCAGTGCTAATCCTAATTCTTCCAAAAATAATCGACGTTTATGATTTGTATTCTGATTCCATTGAGGATTTTTCACTTTCCAGACAATCAGAGCATTTATGGCAGCAATGTCTATCATCCCATAGAAAATACAAACTGGCCATCGCTTTGTACCTCGTTTTACCTGAAAAGTAAAATAAGCTATAGAAATACTGAAATATTTTTTACCGTGTATTTATGACACATTTGATCAACAGTATCGACAGCCCCCTTTGTTTTGTTATAATCCAATATAATGATCGGTTTTCCAGTTTTATTGTCCACTTGATTGTCGTGATGTTTTGAGGAGAGCAATAAAACAGCTTTATTCTGTTTTGGGACAAATGAAACTAAGGTTAAACCATCTTGGAAACCAAAGAGCGAAGAACCCACTTCACGATTTTCGTTGGATTGAAACTCGATAGGTATTTCTGACTTGTTTTTTCGCAGTGTTCCTATAAGAGTCAGATTCTTTGTTTGAAGCGTTTGGGCTAATGGAACACTTGTGAAGAAATTATCTATTGTAACGTTTCTTTGGAAGCCGTAAAGTGGTTTGAGTAATTCTAGAACGACTTTGGCACCTATCTGTGTTTGTCTTTGCTCATTCGGTTGTCGTCCAACGTAAGGAAATGCATTGAATACATAATGTGAGTCCACATCAACGCATAGCCAAAATTTTAATCCGTATTTGTCAGGCTTTTTTGGCATATATTGACGGAAGGAACATTTTCCTCTAAATCCTAGTAGTTGTTCATCAATAGTAACATTTGATCCCGGTGTGTAACATGTTTGTAAGCAATTTTGGAAATATGACCAGATTTCACGAATTGCTGCAAATTTATCTGTTCGTTTTCTTTCTTCCCTTGTTCTTTTGTCGTCAAATCTCAAACAAGAAATAATATCCTGAAAACGAGTTCTTGACATAGTGGCTTTGAATATTGGCGGTTCTAATGGACTTCTTCTCCATAAGCATTTCAGATCGATCTTCGATTTCCCCAATAAACCAGCAAGCAATAAAAGTCCAATAAATGCTTTCAATTCTATGAGTGTTATTTCTTCAATTTTTTTCGTGGAGGTATTCTTGTGAGTATACTCCAAGTTTGAATAATCCAAGATTTTTTCCAGAAGTTTGTTTGGCATAAAACACATGAATGCATCTTCGACAGATGAAATATTTTCACTGGTATTTGTAAGACCAGCTTTTTGAATAACATCATTCGAAAAATCATTTTTCGTTGAATGATGAGGAGTTGAGGACCAAATCATTCCAGAACGGGAAGTATACGAACTTTTCCATGTGGAGTCATCGTCTAATTTTAGGTTTTCTAAATCAATTTCATCATCATCGTCGGATGTTTGGCTTTCGCCATCTCCCGTTTCCGAACCGCTGTTTGCATCATCGAAATAATCACTGTCGCTTCCGGTTTCACTTGAACTGTCCATAATCTTTATGAAAAATATTTCAATGGATTGAAAATGCACACCCCTTTAGATCAGAGAATGACTCATTTTATT